CCATTGGCCAGCTCCTTTCCCTTTTCTGTAGCCCCCTCCTCTCCTTTTCCTTTCCAGCCTTCCTTACTCTCCTCCCACCTTCTTCTTCTTCTTTTCACGTTTAACATTATCTCATTATCTCATAAACGTTTAGTGGTTGTAGAATACCGGTTACCAGTTGCCGTTAAGTCGATGCTGATTCATGGCACTCCCAAGTGTGTCAGAGTAGAACTGTGCTCCACAGGGTTTTCAATGGCTGATTTTTTTCAGAAGTAGATCACCAGGCCTTTCTTTCCAGACACCTCGGGGTGGGCTTGAACTGCCAACCTTTCCGTTAGCAGCCGAACATGTCACCGTTGCACCAACCAGGGACTCTCCCACTTTCCTTTCTTCTACCTCTTTTCCTTTACAGTTCACACTCGTTCCTTTCTGGTTACTTACGCATGGAACCCGCTCTACTACATACAGACAGAAGGAGACAAATTTTGGGGTAGACAGTAGTGGGTATCTTCTAACTGGACCTCTTGAGTAGAAATCTGGTAAGAAAACACTAAGGAAATCCTAAAGAGAAAACAAAACAAAACAAAAAAAAAACCCTCTTTCCTCCATAGCTAGAAAGGGCCGCATCGTTAAGAACAAACAAGGTCTTTAAGGATGGAGAGAGTGTGTACCTTTCTCACATCCAGGTACCCTGTGCTTGGTGCGTGGAGGAGGCTGAGCTGCACGTGATGATAGTGCTTTTGCCTGCCAGGGACAGCTCCACAAACTGAGCATGTGAGCCCGGGCTCTGCATTTTCAGGATGGACTTTGCCGAGGAATGTAGCCTTTCCTTCAGAATGTCAGGAACAGAGAGCAGGATAACGGCCGGGGGTCCCCACGTGGGACGCTGTTGCTGAAGAAGAGAGGATCCCAATGGGGACAGAGAAGGCAAGGGCTGTCCCAGTGATGCCCACAACCCCAGAGGCATCTTGTAACTGGTGAGCCTTCTCTTGTATAAAGACAGCTGTTGTATGCCCTACTTAATAGTGATGAGAAAATGACCTAGAAAGTCCCAGAGGGCATGAGAAATGTCTAATTCTGGGCTTAATGGGGCACCTGGGGATTTGGTGAACTTCAGTAAGTCCCACTGAGCCCTGGGGCCTCGTTTGCCAGTCCGCTCAAAATCAGAGGAGCTTAATCTCCCATAAAAACGTGGCCAATGGAAATTTTGAAATGTATTCAACAGAGAGTGCTCGGGCCTTTCTCTCTAAAGAAAATTAAAAAGGCAACGTGCTGGGTATGGAATGCCCAGGACGTGCCTTGTCTCAGGATTCACTGTGGTTTATCCGCTTTATGTCTGCAGTAGTCAGGAGGTCGGAGTGGCGAGGCCCGTTTTTCACATGAGGAAGCTGGTGTTGCAAGAGGTGATGTGACTTTCCCAAGAAGACAAGTGATGGAACTGTTTTGCTGTCTGTCCCCCCTGGCATCAGACAGCTCCGTGTTGCTCTGACCTTCCGAGTATTTGATCCATCCATCCTCTGCCATGTTGTTGGTCTGGTTTATAGATCAACTAGGCTTTGGCCGTGATGGAGGAAGGGCAAGGTACAGCAAATACAAACAGAAAGGCTTGGTATGCAAGAATCGCTTCTGTGTAAAAGCCACAGAAACTTGAGTCCAACAGGTTTAAATAGGGCTGCATGTTGTTAGCTGCCATAAAGCTGACCCCGGATACATGGTGTCCCCCGCCCCCGACCACGCGCAGTGGAACAAAACACTGCCCAGTGCTGTGCCATCCCCATGACTGGTTGTGGATCAGAGTGTTGTCATCTATGGAGTTTTCATGGGCTGATTTTCAAAAGTAGATCTTCAGGCCTTTCTTCTTATTCCATCTTAGTCTGGTTACCCACTGCCGTCAAGTCGATTCCAACTCATAGCAGCCCTATAGGACAGAGCAGAGTTGCCCCATAGGGTTTCCTAGGCTGTAATCTTTACGGAAGCAGACTGGCACATCTTTCTCCTGTGGAGCAGCTGGTGGGTTCCAACTGCTGACCTTTTGGTTAGCAGCTGAGCACTTAATCACTACGCCACCAGGGCTCCCTTAGTCTGGAAGCTCCGCTGAAACCTGTTCAGCATCACAGCAACACGCAGGCCTCCACTGACAGATGGTGGTGGCTGCACATGAAGTGCATAGGCTGGGAATCGAACCTGGGTCTTCTGCATGGAAGGCAAGAATTCTACTTCTGAACCATCAGTGTGTTCTGGGGTTCCATTAGGCCAATAGTATTTCCTTCATACCCATTGGCATTGAGTCGATTCCAACTCATAGCGACCCTATAGGACAGAGTACAACTGCCCCCATAGGGTTTCCAAGGAGTGGCTGGTGGGTTTGAACTGCAGACGTTTTGGTTAGCAGCCTGAGTTCTTAACCAGTGGAGTGTAAATTCGAGTAGGCACATCTCAGCAGCCTTGGAAACCACCCGAGATTTTGCTTCTGTAGCTGTTGTTTCCTACTCTGAAGCTACAGTGTTGGTTTATGTGTCACTGTGTATGGGGAGGGGACAGTGATCCCTTATCCCTGCTTCCTAAGGATGCTTTAAGCCACCTGGGGACAGGGTATAATGCACCTGCTGTTCTCTTTGCTGGTTGGACTCACTATTCTTGGCTCTCTATTGTGTCATACTGTTTTATTCTAGTGTGCCTTTGTCACAAACCTGTCCTTTGCTAGGAATTGGGTGTGTTTCATGAATTTTCCTTCTGAGACTTTGTTTTCTCAGCTGTTAAATGGGTAGATGTGAGGATGAATCCATGCAATGCCTTGTTGTAGAGTAGATATTCAGTGTCTTAGTTATCTCGTGCTGCTACAACAGAAATACCACAAGTGGATGGCTTTAACAAACAAATTTATTCTCTCACAGTCTAGGAGGCTGAAGTCTGAATTCAGGGTACCAGTTCCTGGGGAAGGCTTTCTTTCTGCATGAGCTCTGGGGGAAGGTCCTTGTCATCAGTCTTCCCCTGGACTAGGAGCTTCTCAGCACAGACACCCCAGATCCAAAGGATGCACTATGCTCCCGGTGCTTCTTTCTTGGTAGTATGAGGTCCCTATCTCTCCACTCCCTTCTCTCTCCTTTTATCTTGAATCAGGGCTGTGACCTAAGTAAGGGTGTTGCATCCCACCCTAATCCTCTTTATCATAAGCTAATCTTACCTCACTAACCACAGGCAAAGATTAGGATTTACAACATACAGGATAATTACATGAGATAACAAAACAGGACAAGCATGCAGTACTGGGAATCATGGCCTAGCTGAGTTGACACACATTTTGGGGGGACACAATTCAGTCCATAACACCAAAACACTTGCCTTTTCTCAATCTTGGCTCTTCACCTGGGGAAAAATTTATCTTAGGGATTTTCTATAAGGATTACAGAATGTAACACATTGGAAAAGTGTTTTGTAAACTGTAAAAGTGGGCCATCGTTGGTCACTAGTATGAATAAGCAGTCATTGCCTTATATCACATGAATACTAGCACTGCTTATGTTAGAATATGTGTACATTTTCCAGCTGCACAGTTTATGTGTTAAGTGATTCAGAGAAACTCCCACACTTGTTCCCCACAGTAAAACCCTGCTTGGTAGATGCAGTGAGTCTCTTAACATCATTGGATAAATTGTCTTCCTCAAGTTGAACGCAACTTTCAGTAAGCGTTTAGTGATTTGTCTTAGTCATCTAGTGCTGCTATAACAGAAATACCACAAGTGGATGGCTTTAACAAAGAGAAATTTATTCTCTCACAGTCTAGTAGGCTACAAGTCCAAATTCAGGGCATCAGCTCCAGGGAAACACTTTTTCCGTTGGCTTTGGAGGAAGGTCCATGTCATCAATCTTCCCTTGGTCTGGGAGCTTCTCTGTGCAGGAACCTCAGGTTCAAAGGACTCACTCTGCTTCCGGCACTGCTTTCTTGATGGTATGAGGTTCCCATGTCTCTCTGCTTGCTTCTCTCTTTTATATCTCAAAAGAGATTGGCTTAAGACGCTATCTAATCTTGTAGATCTCATCAATATAACTGCCGCTAATCCATCTTATTACATCATAGTGATAAGATTTATAACACACAGGGAAATCACATCAGATTACAAAATGGTGGACAATCATACAATATGGGGAATCGTGACCTAGCCAAGTTGACAGATATTTCTGGGGGCACAATTCAATCCATGACAGGATTAGAGTGTATTTAGGATGCAGCAGAGGGCATAAAGCTGAACAAAACCCAAACCCATTGCCATTGAGTCAATTCCTACTCATAGCAATCCTATAGAGTAGAACTGCCCCATGGGGTTTCTGAAGAGTGGCTGGTGGATTCGGACTGCTGGCCTTGTGGTTAGCAGCCTGAGCTCTTAACCACTGTGCCACTAGCTGAACAAGTCCTCCCAAAAAGCTTGGTGTGTACAATGAGAAGTAACATGTTTTTCTGAAGCTGGCAGGCTGTATTAGTCATTGGGAACTTAGCAGTCAAAAAAAAGAAACAAAGAAAATGGCTGCCTGGAGGCTAGTCTGTGCCCATTAAGCAGTGGCTCATTGGGGCAGAGCTACATGGCCACCCGCCTATCAACAGCGGCCACAGGAAGCCAGCAGCATTCACCTTCTCCAGTAGAACAGTGCATCAGGTTGTCAGGCCCACATCTACAAGCCTGTGCTTATTAATATGTCTTGGTTTTGACCCTTCATTATGACCAAGAAATGGGTCAGATGAGAAGTCCTGAGTCAGCTGTCAGTCACACTGCTCCAGATGACAAATGACCTTGCTGAGATCATATGGCTTGTGAGGGATTGAACTAGAGTCTTCTGAGACGCCAGCCCGAATCTGTTAACAGAAATCTTTGTATGATGGAGTCTCATTCATCTGTACTTTGAATCTTTGGAAATTGGCGTGCATTTGGTGAATGCATTTTCCATGAGCCGAATAGGCAACGGATGGGGCCGCAGGTCCGGGACATTATTGGAGCTCACGGGCTCCCACGCTTCTTGTTTTGCAGACAGCTCCAGCCTGCACTCAGCCTACGTCCACGAGAGCACCGTGCACAGCCGCATCTTTCAGATCTTGTACAGGAACGAAGAGGTGCCCATAAACGATGTCGTGATCTTCCAAGCTCACTTGCTCTTAGATGGTGAAAGGGTAAGTCATAGGCCTACTGCCAGCCACAAGCGACTGTTTCTCTCATGTGCCTGGTATATCCATGGCCAGGTAAGTGGTGCATGAAGCAGGAGCTTTAGAATCAGATGGGGATGCATGATCTTAGAGCAGTCATGCACTTATGTGTGTGTATACATGGATGCATGCATGTCTGTATACATGTATGTATGTATGCATGTATGTTGATTTCTTTATGTATTTTACTCTTCCTTTCATTCATACACTTGCTCATTCTATGTAACCTCAAGTAAAAGCCATCCTGCAGGTTTCTCAGAAGCTGGGGGTGTCTTATCTTTCTTTGCACCCCCAGTGCCTACCACAGGACCACACTGTACATGCTTCACCACGACGACTTAGTTGGCAAATGAATGAATGAATTGGACTGGAACTCCTCCTTTTTTTAGGGTCTTTGCAACATCTTCTGTCCAAACAGAAATGAACAGCTCCCACGTGCCCTGTTTGTCCAGCTCTTAGCCCTCACTCATACGGCACTCCTGGGCCAGGGCTGCCTCCCGTGAAACCTCAAGTAACACACACCCGGCGCCACACACCCAACCCACTGGAGCCTTCAGTTAACCCGACCTCCATCTTCCTTACGCCATCACAGCGACGACCGAGTCTTTATCTGCAGCTGAAATGGAAAAGGCAGAAACAAACTCCTGTTAGTGGTGCTGACCGTCTTCTAACTGCCTGTCCATCCCCTTCTCCAGGCTACCTGACCTCCTTTGGACCCCAGGAAGCTGACTGAATGGGCTGCTCATTAGTTCCCTAATCTTTTGGTTTCCCATTGAGTTCAGCCTGTGAGAGGTCCTCCTGGTGACTGGGGGGAGGGAGGAAGGAGAGCGGGGCCAGAGCACTGTTCCCCGGCTCCTTGCATGCCAGGTCGCGCAAGGTTGGCTGTGCCCAGTGATGTGCGTGAGCCACTTTACGCCAGATTTCGAGAGCCAAACGTGCACATCTCTTCCAAATTCCATGTTTAGTGTTCTTACATTGGTGGCTTGAAATCAGATGTGACGGAAGTATTTACGCCACAGAAACTGGCAAATGCTCTGAAGCAGGGCTGTTTATTTTCCCTCTGAGAGCTGGTTTTTAAATATTTACCAGCACGCCTGCTGTCTGTGTCCTACCAAGGTCCCAGCTAGAGTCAGGGGCCGTCCTCCGTTTAGCTTCCTGTCCCGTTCTCATAACCGCTTGCCCTGCTTTACCCTTCAGGCCTGGAGTGGGAAGAAAGTCTGGGGTTAGTAACCGCCAGATACTGAGCTATATCCCTTGTTGCTTCCCCTAAACCCTCCCCACGTTTGTAAATAGTACCTTCCATACAGTCTACTCTGATTCCTCATTTTGAGTAGCTTGTCTGTTTCCTTCCGGGACCCTGGTTGAGACCCGTAATTGAGGAGAGGATAGCCGTGGATTGCCTTTAGTATTAAGGAACTCCCGGTTAGACTGCGTGTCCAAGCCCAGCTCCCCGGGTTCTGATAAGGAAACTGCACCTCAGGTCTCCTGAGCCGCTGTCCTTTGCCATGTCGACCCCACAGAGCTTGCTGGGCAGAGTGGTTGGTAGTGGCAGCAGAGCTGGGGTAGTTCTGGGGTATCTTGGCCATGATTCCATCATAATACCGCCAGTCTCACTCCTATCCCTAATAGCTAAAGCCTTTCGGGCTGAAATTTCCCCACCACCCAACTTCAGCTTGTATGAGGCTGTAACAAGCCTTAGTTCTGAGGTTTAACAGAGTCTGTTTGACAGTACGTATTACTCTCCTCTGCGTACCAAATTGCTTATCTTTATGGCTAATAATTTATTATTGTGTTGGGAATAATCGATAACAGAAGCAAACAATGTTACAACTAATCATTATATCCAAGCCAGTGGCAATTAAAGTAAATTGGATATGCCCATAAAAGCGAAATGGATAAATAAGCTCTTTTCTAATGAGTACCCGTCATTAGAACACCCGAAATACTGCTTATGGCCAACTGGGCAAAGTGTGTGGTCCTGCATGTGCACAGACGTGACCGTGACCAGCCCGCGGGTATGAGGTGCCTGTCCCTCACAGACACCATTCTACACGCTATGGGGCGGAAGAGGCAGCTGTGCAGTGAGGTCACAGGAAGTGCAAAAGATGACCGCGGACAGAACTAGCCACGGTTTAAGGCAAAAGTTGGGATGTTTTAATGAGAGTTGCAAAGAGTAAATGAGTGTGAGGGCAAGGTGGGTATTTTCTGTATATACGCTCTATGTAATTCTACAGAATATTTGACAAGGCTTGCAAAAATACATAAACAAAAAAAAGAGGGTGTGGGGGAGGAGAGTCATAGAATACACTGGGGTGGAAGGGAAAACACAGGCAAGGAAATTAAAGCCTGAGGTAGATGTTGCAGACCAAAGTGTGCTAACATAGCTTTGGACATTGGCAAATGGCAGCCCACATACTTAACACTAAGCTTCCCAGCAGCTAAGGCAAAGAAGAAGGTTGTTGTTGTTGTCAGATGCCGTCAAGTCATTGCCAACTCATAGTGACCCTACGTACAACAGAACAAAACACTGCCCGGTCCTGCACCATCCTCACAATCGTTTTTATGTTCGAGCCCATTGTTGCAGCCACTGTATCAATCCATCTCATTGAGGGTCTTCCTCTTTTTTGCTGACCTTCTGCCTTACCAAGTATGATGCCCCTGTCCAGGGACTTATCCTTCCTGATAATGTGTCCAAAGTATGTGAGATGAAGTCTCGCCATCCTTGCTTCTAAGGAGCATTCTGGTTGTACTTCTTCCAAGCTGGACGTTTTGCCTGATGATCTACTTCTGAAAAATCAGCCATCGAAAACCCTATAGAGCACAGTACTGCTCACACACATGGGGTCGCCATGAGTTAGAGTCAACTCGATGGCAACTGGATATTATTTCCACTATGATAAAAAGATGCTTCCTGGTGGTGAAAAATGACCCTTGAAGAAAGGTGATGTCTTTAACCAAGATGAAGCAAAAGGGAAGGAGATTGAAGGAAAGGTTGTGTGTCTGTGTCTGTGTGTGTGTGTGTGTGTGTGTGTGTGTTTAGAAGGAGGGGCAGGCAGTCAGGTGAATGAATGCTTGAAGAAGGCATTGACTTCATTCTGCAGCATTTTGGGATTAAAGGTTTATTAAGACATCCATGGAGTCATAGGCAGGTGCAATCTAGCTCCAGCTCACCCAGGCAAATTATTTTTCTCCTAGTTCCAAAGGAACTGCAGTGCATTTAACACTGGAGCTTACAGTGAATTTTCATTAACCAAGAAAATGCACGCTCAGAAGTCGGTTGGGAGAGCTTACTTTGCCAACCTCTCTTCCAAGGAACTGGTGGCAAGAAAGTGTATTGCTTGCATCGTGTGTACTAAGAGAAGTCCGTGATTATGCAAAACAAAGCTAGGAGAGGAAGTTATGTATAGTGCTTGGATTCAGCAAAATGTTAACTTTTAAGTGCTGTTTTTTTTTTTTTTTTTTTTCCCCAACAAATTTTAAACCCTGGGGTAAAGATGAATGCAATGCATATGTGCATATGTCTCTGCCTGAGTTTTGCTTAACCAGGAACATGTTTCCAAGGAGGCGGGAGACTTGGATCTCTGCAGGATCGGAGTGTTCTTGCAACAACAGCAACGACCGAAGCTAGAAGTGGGAGAGAGCTTCATTGCGGCAAGATTCATGGACACTTTCTATGCGGCAGGCCCTGTTCCTGGAGGGAACGATCCAGAGTGAATTAAGACTAGTCTCTTCCCTAGTGGTATGCAGATTACTGGGGACACTAGGCAGGAAAACAGCCCAGACGGCTATTGTCAGTGAGCCAGTGGTAGATGGGTGAGCACATGCCTGATATGAACGGAGCTTCCAAATGCCGGCCCAGCATTGCTAGGCCCAGGAATTATTTTCAGAAGAAGCTGGAAACCTGCAATAATAATGTGAAATTGCTTGCTTTTTAAATGCCCAGGGTCACAAAGATACTGAATGGTAGAGCTAGGATTTGAACCCATGTAGCTTGACTTCAAAAGCTGCCTTTTTAATCACTTGCAACTTATTAAGATAAATACATAAATAAATACTATGGGGACTGAACCAAACGTGCCTACAGATACTATTCGAGGCCTGGGCTTCCAGGTTATAACCTGAAGTGAGAAATTAGAACCAAACCAAAACCGTTGCTGTTGAGTCGATTCTGATTCTTGGTGACCCCATGTGTTACGGGGTAGAGCTGCTCCATAGGGTTTTCTTGGCTGTAATCTTAACAGAAGCAGATTGCCAGGTCTTTCTTCCATGATACCACTGGGTAAGTTCAAACCACCAACCTTTAGGTTAGCAGTTGAGTGCAAACTGTTTACACCCCCCAAGAACTCCAAGCAGTTATAACAGGAGACATAAAATGCTAACGTGGAAGAGAAGCAGTGCATTGTGGGAGAAGGGCTCCATCCAGCCCGGTGTGGGGAGAAGTCTGGTCCTGTTGCAGTGTGCGGTACTTAGACAGGGCGGCCCAGCTGAGTGGGGTGGGGTGAGATCTGATACTCAGCAGGCCACTCCTGCTTGTGATGGCAGTGGTGGTCGTTCGCATGAGGAACGAAGACCTAGGGGCTGCCGACCTTTAGGTTTGTGAGAAGCTGGTGGGTAGAACAGGCCGATCCCTGACGTTAGTTAAAGAGCACCGTTTTATTAGCTAAGGGTGAGAGCAGCCATGGACAGGACACGGAATGCTAAAACATTGTCTGAAAGTGTCAGTGGCTAAATGAAATGCGGCTCAAGACAGAAGGAAGGAGCTGCTTTCTAAAGAAGTCGAGTCATCTTGGGAAGTGGCTCTGGTCTCCTGACTGAGCACCCGCTTCCTTTTCTGTACACATGGAAGATAATGCCTGCCGTGTAAGCTTGCCCGAGGCTTAGAGAGTGCCGGCCCTGCTGTCGCCCTGTCCCTCTAACAGGCGGGGTTTCCTCTAAGACAGCTTCACTCTACCACCCTTCCCAAAGCAGGAAGGGTGCATAAACCTGCATAAAAGGGTTCCGGGTCAAATGTACTTGGGAAACAAAGCTCTCAAAAGTCCTGCAGTAAGGAAGCCTGTTACCATTCCTTTTTTTTTTCAAATTGGCTTTTCCCAAACTTGACTAGATAGATGGATGGATGGATTCATCCACCCGTCCATCCATCCACCCATCCATCTTTCCGAGGAGACCTGGTGGTGCAGTGGTTAAGCGCTAGGCTCATCTCTGTATCTCTATCTCTATATCTGTCTACCTACCATCCGTCTGTCTACCTACCTACCTACCATCCATCCATCCATCCATCCATCCATCCATCTATCCTTTCCTTCTGTTCTCCATGTAGTACCCGCAGAATTCCCATGGAACATGCATAGACTTCTGTTTTAAGCATGAATGGCTTATTAACTTGGTGATGAGTTTTTTTTTTCCCCTCTACTTTGGGAAATAGAACAGTTATTTTCTATTTAGAAGGATCTGCCTCCTGAAACCCCTCGGTCTTTGTTTCTCTTGTAGGTAGAAGACGCATTAAGTGAAGTAGAGTTTCAGCTCAAGGTGGACCTGCACTTCACGGACAGTGAGCAACAGTGAGTGTCACTTAGCTCCTTCAGCTGTGATAGTGCGGTGGCCCCCCTCCACTGCCTCCCCACCCTCGGGGCACCCTCGTGGCCATGAACCTCAGAAGTCCTATTTCTGAGAAGCCTCAGTGCCTCTCCATTGTCACAGCTTACCCAGGGGTCGTCTCAAACCAGGTACATTGTAGGCAGGTGGCTCAGATGCCGCATGCTCAGAGCCTGCCTTCCTGGTTTGGTTCAGTGCTGCCTTCTCCAGCCTGCTATCTCCATTTATTCTGGACGCACTATTAATTGGAGTTTTGGATTAACGACTCTCTGCAAACCATAAGTCCTCTTCAGAATCAACGGAGGTTCTGTCAGGATTCTGCCTCTTGATACTAAATATCTGCCATTATGTTTCAACTCCCTGAAAATTGAAAATCCATTTATGCATAACCTGCTGATTAAATAAGGAAGCAGCTCCCTTCTTTTGCGTAACTGCTTCCTTTAAACCTGCTCTGTGCGTCCTTCCTCCTTACTCTGGGGGTGAATTGTCATTTCACAAAGCCTTTTCAGGTTCTGTCAGGTAATAAATAGTCCTTCCCTCAGGTATGAAAACATCCAGTCAAGTGTAACATCAAACTCTAAACTCTCATCCTATGTATAACTTCTCTGCATTGCCCTCTTCCTCCCTCCCACCCCACCCCAGCCCCATCCTCCCTCGGGGCAGGGAACCCCCAGTGCAGAAGCAGGGCATGGTGGGTGGCTTCATGTCTTCCCCCACCTCTTTCCCCCTGTGGCTTGTGGTCCTTCCAGGGTCAGGCACAGTGAAGACGGAGGAAGGTAGAAGAAGGGGCAGGAATTCCTGGTTGACTTGTTCAGTAGCAAGCAGGGCCCTTCATTCACCGATGCCGAGTCTGCCTCTCTAGGGGGTTTTCGTGCATTCCTTGGATTATCCCTATTCAGCAGCCTCCCCCTGCTGTTCTTTGCTATAAGTGAGGCCTTCTGTGGTGGGATCACTCATTCCTTGCAGGAAGCTCGCTTGGGAAGATTCTGCTCCAAAAAACCCACATCTGGACCATGGAAAATTGATGCCTTAATCGGTATTTCTGTGATAAAATTCTCGCCTTCCATGCAGGAGACCCGAGTTCCATTCCTGGCCACTGCAGCTCATGCACAGCCACCACCCATCTGTCAGTGGAGGCCCACGTTGGTTGCTATGATGCTGAACAGATTTCAGTGGATCTTCTAAACTAAGATGGACTAGGAAGAAAGGCCTGGCGATCTACCTCCAGGGACACAGGGAATGGGGCTTTCTTGCCATTCAAACAGTAGCTACTGGAGAGTCTGTATACAGGGAATCAGCCCAATCAAAGTGCGTTAAATTCAGCAATCTGGGCTCTGTGCTCATCAATCGTGAGACATCGGGCAAGTCTCTGCACTTCCCTAAGTCTCAGCAGACTCGTTTATAAAATGGGCATCGTTACAGAATACGCACCTCAGAGGTCTTTATGAAGATTTACAGGGATCGTCTATATGATGAGCCAAGTGTGTGGCCTGCTCCTAGATGTCTTCTTCCTATTTATGGCTGCTGGATGCAGTGGGGCTGGGCTTTGATGAGTGGCTTCCTTTCTGTAATGCAAAGAAGCACTTAATCACAATCAGAGTGGGGCATTTCATGGAATATACAATTAGCTAAGAGGAAGCCAGACACTGGGGAAGAATTGAAAATGCCATATTTTTTCATTTCCATAAATCGGGTTTAAGAATGATGAGGATTCTGTAGCACATCCTGGGGGTGCACATTAAGCTGTGAAGTATGACCAGGCTGGTAGCTTCTTTAGCCCCACACAGGCCTGGGCAGGAGCAGAGGCTCAGGGCGCAGGGTTCTTGAAGTCCGTCTGGTTCAATGGTTCTGAATGGGGTGGGGCCAGTTTGCCCCCAAGGAACATTTGGCAATGCCTGGAGACATTTCGGTTGTCACATCTGGGGATGGGGAGCTGCTGACATTCTGTGAGCAGAGTCCAAGGATGTTGCTAAACATTCTACAATGCACAGGATAGCCCCCCTCCAGAGGGTTATCTGGTCCGAACATCAGTATTGCTGTGGTGGAGAATTCCTACTCTAGGCTGACCTCACCTTTATACCTGCTACTCTGCAAAGGCCCGTCTGCTGGACGGAGACCTGGAGCTCACTGCTGCCCATCACGGCCCATCTGCCCTGGGAGGCTCTGTTAGAGCATTCTTCACATCAAGGGGCAATTCATCCCTTGAGTACCTTCCCTCAGTCCACCTCCGTTCTATTCCTCGGGATCACCCAGGAAATTTCTCGGGCTGGATGACAGTTCAGATCAGCAAAGCTCTGTAAGTCGTTCCGCAGCTCCAGGTTAAAGCCCAGAGCTCTTCCTCGCTCTGTTTTTGTTTGTTTATTGCTGTGTGTTTGATTATTTTTATTTCTTTTAGAAGAATCCAGGCATTCTGCCTCTCAGTACTATCCAGCTTATTTCTATCTTTTCTAAACTCTGCCTCCCAAGAACTGCATTAATTGGTTCTGTCCATTTCAGAGCACAGAACTATCACCTCCCTCTTTTTAAGTCTTTACTCCTGTGAACATGACCTAAATTCTTGTTAATGTTTTTGACATCTCTGAGAGCCTGACATGCATTTTACCTCCTGTTGGTCAAGATTTAAGGATATCTCTGTAATTCCTACCAGCCTGTGTCTGAATAGATTCAAAGCCATATGGTGCATTAAGTCAGAAAAGACTGCGAAGTCCGACAAACCTGTGTTTAGAACTTTAGTTTTGCCTGTGACTGTGAGCAGTTAACTCACGTTGGTTCTGCTTCTCATCTCTAAGTGCAATAGCCCTAGTAAATACATCATCTGATTGTTGTACAGATAAAGGAAAAGCACCGTGTTTGGTTCATCGTAAGGCCTTAATAAATTGTCAGAATTTAAGTGGGTGTAAATGTTACCAACCTTCTGAGCCCCCTGGGGTGCCCGCTGCCCCCATCCCCTCATTTTGTCCTGGTCTCCCCGTGGAGTTGCACTGGCTGCAGTGTTGCGGTTGACTCTTTGCCTTGGCGTTTTTCATCTGCACACAAGCTATAAGCAACAAGGGTTTCAAGGAAGCAAAGCCTGTTGGGCTGGGTCTTGGGAGACCGCTTCCCTCACCTTCCCTTCTCTGCGCCTCGGTTTCCTTGTCTATGGAGGAAGGAGACGCATCTCTGAAAGCTCTCTGAGCTCTCTGACCCTCTCCCTGAAAATGCTGCGGCCAGCTCTCCTGCCCCTGTGGGTCAGAGAACCTTGCAGAGTCTGGGTGATTGGTTTTCAGAGCTTGAGATTAGCGCCCATCCCTCATGAGAGGGATAGCACGGCTGGCTTTTGCCTACGGAATAATTAAATCCCATTTGATAACTGAAGACTCTGTAGTTGGGTCACGCCTGTGCGTTGGTTTCTCTCTTAGGAGTCGGGCACGTACAAGGTCGGAATGCTGAAGCAGAGGCAGGGGGTCTGGAATTCCTGCGGAAGCTGGGCACACTAGTCTACCATTGTGCTTTGGGGGTGTGTAAGTCTCTTTTAGGGCTGCTGTAACAAAGAACCATGAAGTGAGTAACTTACAAGAACAGGAATTTATTGTCTCACAGTTCTGGAAGCTGGACGTTCAAACCAACATGTTGACCTGGCCATGCTGTTCTCCGGAGTCTCTAGGGGAAGAACCTTTCTTGTCTCTGTCAGCTCTGGTGGTTCCAGGTGTCCCTCGGCTCCTAGATGCATCTTCACGTGGCTGTCTTCCCTCTGCACGTCTCTCTGTGTCTCTTCTTCTCTAATGACACCGCTCGGGTTGCGCTAGGAGCCAGCCTGCTCCGGTGTGAGCCCACGTTACCTGATAACATCCTTTTAAACAAGTTCACGTTCGCATGTACCGGGGCTAGCAGTTGGCCGTATCTTTTTCGGACACAATTCAGTCTGTGACAGGAGTCATCTCTTCATTCAGTCAGTTGCTCACTTTAATAAGTGAGCATTTGATCAGCTTCTCCATTGTGCCTGATACTACGCAAGGCGTGGGGTTACACAGATGCATCGCTCACGGTTCCTGCCTTTAAGCAGCAGGGATCTTCAGAGAAGGCAAACCGACAAAGGCCATGCAGTGTCTCAGTGCAGCGCTGGTGACTCAGGGAAATGAGAGCAGATGGGGGGAGAGCTGTGAAAAGGGTCTTGTTCATCACTGACGTGAGATTTGGCGCCAGCGACGATGGGGTGGGAGCCCTCGACCTGTCGCGGAGCAGCTGTGTAATGTCCGGTGAGTTCTTTTCCTGCCCTGAGCCTCAGTTTCTTCATCTGCAATCCTGGGGAAATGGTTTCTTCCAGGCAGAGTGCTTGCAGGGATAGACAGCAGGGCACATGCACGGCGCTTGTTCCGTAGCGAGGCCATGCTGTGTGCGCACCTGGGTGCGGCAGGAACCACCGTCGTCACTAACGCGAGTCCCGTGCTTGCCTTCCAGGCTGCAGGATGTGGCCGGGCCGCCCTTGATCAGCAGCCGCACGCTGGGGCTGCATTTCCACCCGCGGAGGGGTCTGCACCACCAGGTCCCCGTCATGTTCGACTACTTCCACCTGTCGGTGATCTCCGTGACGGTCCACGCCGCCCTGGTGGCGCTGCAGCAGCCCCTGATCAGGTACTACATCCTGAGTGAGCCCTGAAGTACAGGCGGCCACTTCGCTTGTCTTGTTACACTTCTGTTCCAGGTGTGACCGAGAAGTGGCGTTTGCCAGGAGAGACCAGCACAGACCAGAAGAGCTTCTTTCAGGCTAAAGGTTTAGACTGTGGGGCTCACTGAGGGGAATGGGAGGTGTGTGTGTGTGTGTGGTGTGTGTATGGGTGTGTGGTATGTGTGTGTGTGTGGTGTGTGTGTGTGTAGGGGGTGTGTGTGATGTGTGTGTATGAGTGTGTTGTGGGTGTGGTGTGTGTGTATGGGTGTGTGATGTGTGTGTGTGTGAGTGTGTGTGTGCAGGTGTGTGCACTTATAAGTGTTCATAGAGGACAGCAGGAGTCAGGGGACCCTGGCATGGAGCTGGGTGCTGAAACTGCACGCTCAGATGGGACCATTGGACTGGATGCCACGCCTGGCTTCACTGCTCTGTAGCTGCATGGTATTTGAGAAGTCACCTAAAGTCACTGAACCACGGAATCCTCATCTCTAAATAGGAACACTGATGTGTCCAACCCACACAGGGCTTTCTTTAGTGAATCTCAAGTAAGGATAGTGCCCGGCCATGAGAGGGACCCCAACGCCCTCAGGTGCTATGTGTTGAGATGCACACGCCCACCCCTGAGGTCCTCTGCCTCCTCCTGCTCCCTCAGTGAATTGTCCCACCGTGCCTCTGAGGTCCGTGAAGCGCTGAGGCTTTGTGATTTCTAGGCATTGAGGGAGCGTCCTCAGGTGATGCAAAAACCTAATGTGCTTGGCTGCTAACTGAAAGGTTGGCAGATAAGTCCACTCAGAGGTGCCACAGAAGAAAGGTCTGGTGATTTACTTCTGAAAAATCAGCCACTGAAACCCTAAAGAGCACAGTTCTACTCTGACACAAATGAGGTTGCCATGAATCGGAATAGGCTCGACAGCAACTGGTCCTGGCATACGCTGAGGGGCATAGGTGGCAGCAATAACCATCAGCTTATACTGTGATTTTCAAACATGGACCTGATGTGGCTGACTCTGTGCCTCAAGTCATCTCACACGTGCAAGCAGGCAAAAGATACACAGGTGCAGTGGGGGATTTAGGGATGGATCTTGCAGCATGGAGTTTGGGGAGGATGACTTTCCCATTGTTCCTCCTCAGGATGGCTTCTCAGGGCTGGGGTGCACATGCATGTGGGTGAGACTCCAGTCCCACCAGTGTGTGTTAGGGACTTTGCTGTCCGTGGCCTGAGCCACTGTACTCTGCTGCGGTCAGTGAGCAAGAACTGAGATACACCACCCTGGACCATGGAATGTGACTGTGAGGAGCTGCCCACACAGTGGATGCCTGCACCAATCCCATGCCCATCTACAAGTTCCTTTGGGGGCTCTACTTGCTAATGGGGCAATGTCAGATCCTGACCGGGATTGGCAGAGGTGATGTCAGATCCTGACCGGGATTGACAGAGGTGATTTTGGGTCCTGGCCGGGATGGGCAGAGGTGATGTCGGATCCTGGCCGGGATGGGCAGAGGTGATGCCAGATCCCGGTCAGAATTGGAGATGTGATGTCAGATCCTGGCCAGGATGGGCAGAGGTGATGTCAGATATTGGCCGGGATTGGCAGAGATGATATCGGATCCTGACCGGGATGGGCAGAGGTGATGTCGGATCCTGGCCGGGATTGGCAGAGGTGATGTCAGATCGTGGCCGGGATGGGCAGAGGTGATGTCAGATATTGGCCGGGATTGGCAGAGGTGATGTCAGATCCTGGCTGGGATTGCAGAGATGATGTCAGATCCTGGCCGGAATTGGCAGAGTTGATGTCAGATCCTGGCCGGAATTGGCAGAGTTGATGTCAGATCCTGGCAGGAATTGGCAGAGGTAATGTCAGATACTGGCCGGGATGGGCAGAGGTGATGTCGGACCCTGGCCGGGATTGGCAGAGGTGATGTTGGATCATGGCTGGGATTGTCAGAGGTGATGTCGGATCCTGACCGGGATGGGCAGAGGTGATGTCAGATATTGGCCGGGATTGGCAGAGGTGATGTCAGATCCTGGCTGGGATTGGAGAGATGATGTCAGATCCTGGCCAGAATTGGCAGAAGTGATGTCAGATCCTGGCCGGGATGGGCAGAGGTGATGTCAGATCCTGGTCAGAATTGGAGAGGTGATGTCAGATATGGCCAGGATTGGCAGAGGTGATGTCAGATCCTGGCTGGGATTGGAGAGATGATGTCAGATCCTGGCCAGAATTGGCAGAAGTGATGTCAGATCCTGGCCGGGATGGGCAGAGGTGATGTCAGATCCTGGCCGGAACTGGCAGAAGTGATGTCAGATCCTGCTCAGAATTGGAGATGTGATGTCAGATATTGGCCGGGATTGGCAAAGGTGATGTCTGATCCTGGTCAGAATTGGAGAAATGATGTCAGATCCTCGCCGGGATGGGCAGAGGTGATGTCAGATCGTCGCCGGGATGGGCAGAGGTGATGTCACATCCTCGCCGGGATGGGCAGAGGTGATGTCAGATTCGGGCCGGGATGCGCAGAGGTGATGTCAGATTCGGGCTGGGATGGGCAGAGGTGATGTCAGGTCTGGGCTGGAATTGGCAGAGGTGACTGATGTGTATCAAATGAGCCCTAATCCTCAAACTGAGAAGTTTCACCCAGAAAGAAAGAGTAGGTAGGGCTAAAGGGCAGGGCAAGATGATTTCTGAGAGAGAAAACGGGACACTGCATGGGGGGTATTGGTAGCTCAGTGGTAGAATTCCCGCCTTCCACGCAGGAGACCGAGGTTCGATTCCTGGTCAGTGCACCTCATGTGCAGCCACCACCTGTCTGTCAGGGGAGGCGTGCGTGTTGCTGGGATGCTGAACAGGTTCCAGTGGAGATTCCAGCCTAAGATGGTCTAGGAAGAAAGTCCTGGAGATCTTCTTCTGAAAATCAGCCGATGAAAACCCAATGGATCACAAAGGTCTGATCCCCGTTGGATCATGGGGATGGCGCAGGGCCGGGCATGGCTTCGTTCCATTGTGCACAGGGTCGCCATGAGTCAGGACCTGACTCAACAGCAGCTAAAGACGACAACAATTAATGACACATTAAGGAATTGAGAATATGTTCATTGTGTAAGAGGGAGGCATTGAAGGTGTTTAAGCAAGAGGAAAAAAAAACAAAACCAAACCCATTGTCGTCAAGTCGATTCCAACTCATAGCTACCCTGTAGGACAGAGTAGAACCGTCCCATAGGGTTTCTAAGGAGAGGCTGGATTCAAACTGCCGACCTTGTGGTTAGCAGTGAAACGCTTAACCACTGCACCTAACCAGGAGAAGAACCTGGTAAAAACCTGTGTTTTGTAAAGATCCCTCCAGCAGCTGTGAGTGGGCTGAGTTGGAAATTCCATCAGAGTGGAGGCAGGAGGTTAGGGGGAGATGGTGATCACCCAGCTATGGTGAGGAGTGTGACAGCTATAGAAATGGCAGGAAAAAGCAGGTGTCGCCCCTTTGCTGCGGGGGCCCCTGATTATATTCTAACGAGGACTGCAGGATCTGGAGCTTCTTAGTTGAAAGTCTGACCTTGTTAAAGAAAATAGTCTCTTGCAAGTTTGTCTGCAGCAACCTTGCCAGGCGTAGAGCACCCAGAAAAATGTACGGGAAGAGCAGAGGCTTCTCCAGGGATGGCGGAGGAATATTCTCTGGGTTTGGCAGGAGGAATTTCTATTCCTGAGCTACCATTAGCTGGGAACAAAGGGAACCCTTTAAGGTTGTGGAAAATACCTGTCAAATAGGGCAAGCTTTAGCTTTTCTGGAAAAGCAGTTTTTAGCAACATCACTTAAATCTGATCAGTGCGAAACAGGTGTGAAATTAAAATTTGACCTCAAAAAAACGCTTCACCTTCGCTGAAACAGACAGAAGAATCTATTTTTAACCCTCAAATGGGTACAACTGTATTTCAGCTGAGATCTTCAGATCCACCGGAAAAGTTAGAGGGTCACACATACATGAATGAATGAATGAATGAATGAATGAATGACACATTGTTTTAGTTACTAATTTGCAGTCTGTCCCCTGAATAGGCATGTTGAACTTTCTTTCTGGAATGTTCCTTCTTTCCATCTCCTAGGTAAATCCTAGGCTTGCTTTAAATCTCACCTAAAGAAAAAGATGGAAAAATGATTATAAGGATAATATTCGGGGTATATTTAACAATAACTACTAGCATTTGTTGAATCATTACTATTTGCCGTATACTACCGGTTACCAATTGCTGTCAGATTGGCTCCAATTCATGATGACCCCATGTGTGTCAGGATAGAACTGTGTTCTATGGGGTTTTCAGTGACTGATTTTTCGGAAGTAGATCGCCAGTTCTTTCTTCTGAGGTATCTTTGGGTAGACTTGAACTACACTGACCCCCATACTTGGCTTATCTCCTGGAATTCTCACATAGTCTTGTAGTTGAAGTACCAATATCCACCCTTCTAACACACGAGGAAACAGAGGTATTGGGGAGGAGGCATGGGGTGGGGGAAGGGTTAAGAAACTTGCCCTGTGTCTCACAGCTTATAGGCGGTGATGTTAGGATTTGTACCCAGGCAGCCTGGTTCATTGACTGCCTCTTCACCCCCTGGCCATACTCCACTTAAATATCGTCTCTAACGAGTCATCTGCTCGGTGCTTTCACCCAGTTTGGTTTATAGGCTGCTGGTCTGTGCTCAGTGACCTGAGTTTAACGCCCTTGTGTGATATGTATGGTTATTGGTCTGTCTCCCTCTCTAGATGAAATCATGCCACCTTAGCACCTAGAGCGCTGTGCAGTGTGAGTCTAATAAATATTAGAAGGAATGAATTTAACAGAGTTATAATGTAAAGTTTATTTCTCCATCAATATTTTAAGCAAGAACGTGGACCTCTTTAATGCGTTATGATGGAAATGATGCCCTCTGAGGCTGAACGCTTATCGCGACCCTCTCTGCCACCAGGGACCTTGAATCTCACTGGGGGGATAAGACATCAATATAGTAGTGTTCACTGGATGAGAAGACTATTAACCATTAGGATATTTAATTCAAGAGGTCTAAAAGAAAGGAAAAAACTGAGTGTAAGTAAACTTCACCAGTATATCAATTGATGACAATCAAAAGGCAAAGGGAGAGAACGTTGAACAATAACCCCGAACAAGATGGATTCAGAGAGATCCCACAGCCTTTCATAATCACCTTTGAGCCTAAAACTGCTAGCTGCTATCGCATGGTGTCAGTTGCCCTTTAGGATGACTCCCGGCGCTGGGCAGGATGTGGATATTTACAGATAATATTCTCAGTTAGCACTGGCATCGTGAGTGCTTTATAGATGGTGGCACTCTTTGACAGCCGTTATCCTGCTGGATTTGTGTGTGAATTGTGGAGGTGGATGTGTCTTCAGGCTCTTCCAGAGAAGAGCACACAGACCTGCAGGGCTTGGGATTGAGGGAACTCATTGCACTGGTGCCAGTAAGTGGAGACAGGACTCAGACCACGCCAGGCTGAACCTTACCTTGTCCTTGCCAGGAGCCCGTTGCACCTGCCCCTCCCACTCACACCACCTGCAGCCCTGCCTTAGTGTCCCTCAGCAGGTGTGGTGCAGGCATTTAGGGTGGGCATTTCTGCTTTGCAGCGGATAATCGTACACATAGGAGGATGGGTATCATCCTTGGCTCCCAGGCTTCATGCCAGCTGCACCCCCTTGTCATCGTGACATCCAAACGTGTCCCTTCAACCTTTCCAGACACCCTCTAGGGGATGAGCTAAAAAAAAAAAAAAAACATTGCCGTAGTTGATTCCGACTCATAGCAACCCTGTGGGACAGAGTAGAACTGCCTCATAGGGTTTCCAGGGCTGTAATCTTTATGGAGGCAGACTGGCACATCTTTCTCCCACGGAGCAACTGGTGGGTTTGAACCACTGACCCTTCTGTCAGTAGCTGAGCATTTAACCACTGCACCCCCGGGGCTCCTAGGGGATGAACTACTCCTTCCAAATGGTTTATTCCGTAGACTCCCTAGTACCATTCCTCCGAGCCAAAACCAAAGTTGTTGCTGTCTCTTCCAACTCATGATGACGAGTCGAGCTGTTCTATAGAGTTTTCTTGGTTCTAATCTTTATGGAAGCAGATTGCCAGGCCTTTCTTCCGTGCTACTGCTGGGTGGGTCTGAACTGCCAACCTTTAGGTTAATAGTCGAATGTGAACTGCCTGCGCCACTTGTGGACCTTTCATTCAAAACCCACTGCTGTGGAGTCCCTTCTGACTCTAGGGACCCTGTAGGACAGAGTGGAACTGCCCCATAGGGTTTCCAAGGCTGTAAATCTTTATGGAAGGAGACTGTCACATCTTTCTCCTGCAGGGTTTGAACCTCCAACCTTTCAGTTAGCAGCCGAGCGCTTTAACCACTGTGCCAGGAGGGCTCCTTCCTTCCATTCAAGGGGTCTGAATTAATGGCACTATCGCTTTCTTTACATCCTTCTCCCTCTTCAATTCTCTCTATTTTAGTTTCACTCGTCCAGGAAGAGGCTCCTGGCTTGGCAAAGGCAGCCCAGACGTGGGGCCAGAACAGTCCAGCATTTCTCTGGAGAACCTGGTCTTTGGAGCTGGGTACTGTAAGCCGACTTCCTCGGAGGTAAGGTCTGCATGTGGGCAGAGACCGCGGGGCTCTGCAAACTTCTCTTTGCAGCGTCTGCCTGTTCTGTGAGAGCCTTGCTGCTTCCGGCTGTCCCGTTTAGAGATTCTTTGCCATGTTTGTCCCTTTCATCTATCCATCTGTTCCTTCTGTTTATTACTGCAACACTTAGCAAACCTATCCCATATACCAGCCCCTGGGATGGACCCAGGGAACCCGGTCTTCATGGGGTGCCTCTTCCACGTGGTTCCATGAAGGAGATCATGGGGGCATTGATGTGAGGGGCTTCCCTTGGACCATGTGGTGACCTTGGAAGTCCATTGGCATTGGAGCCATGCCTGTTTTCAAAACCCAGCTCCACCTCTCTTTGGCTCACTTCTCTGAGCCTCAGTTTCCACACCTGCAAAGTGGGAATCTCTCATACCCAATGACTTCATGATGCGTTATGTGTATCCAGCATCCTAACATGTGTGAAGTCCCCTATCCAGGCCTGGTGCCCACTAGGTGCTCAGTAGACGTGTTCCTTGTCCTTCCCCTGCTCCCCCTGCTCCTTCCTCTCTAAGTAGCAAGTACATCCTCTTTGGTGACGTGCAGGCCTCGGGCCACACATCGTGTTTGACCGTGTTTCTCCTGAGCCAACACGTGATGTGTTTTTATGAGTGGCCTTTCAGAGGCAGCCAGCCTGTGGTACGAGTGTGAAAGGTTGTCCGCACACAGACAGCCTCAAAAAGAGAGGCTCCCGCCTTCTGTGCAGCTGGGCTCCAGCTCAGACTGTCCACGACATCAGGGACTCTGCTGGCGTGCTGTGACATCCCCTTTCCCAGCTCTGAGCCGAGCCAGCAGTCTGGCTGCGGAAGCGCCCAGGCCATGTCTCCAGCTGGTCCAAGCTGCTGTGTCACACGTTCTCCTGGGACAAGTGGAAGACAGAACTGCCAAGACCCTCCTCAGAGACAGGGACCTGAAGCCGGGGTTGCCTTGGTGCTGGGAAGGGGCAACAGTAGAGCCAAATAGAACCACTTAGAAGGTGGACTCCAGGGACTTGTAGACGTATGAATGCGGGCAGTGGCCGAGCCTCCCGGAACCCTTGTGCAGAGCACCAACACAGGACCAGGAGTGAGTGGAAGCCAGCGAGCTTGGGGCTTTCCACCTCACCGCACATGCACGCGGGGCTCGGAGCTCCAACCTGGGGCTGGAGAGGAATGGCTGGTGGGACCTCCTGCTTGTTCTGCACCCCCAATCCCTAGCACAGACTCCTCCTCGGTGTGTGGTGGCTGCTGGGACACGCCCCATGTCAGCCTTCCTGTTGCTGGAGGTATCGTCAGCCGACTCTGCAGGACCACCCCTGCTCTAGAGCTCCAGACGGATCAGCCAAGGCCTTTGCTGTGACCACATTGCAGCCCAGAGTCTCCCTCTGTCAAGTCCTGCTCTTACCTGTTGGTCCCAAGAGCCTCCCCAGGGAACCTCCTGCCTGGAAATCTCCAGGAAATGCAAACTGCAGCTTTGTGGTCGTAGACCAGTTCAGAGCATTTTGAACACTTCCTCATCCAGATAAGGGCCCTTGCTGGCCCCAATTGTGATCTGGCTTCCGCCTTGAAGGGTCTCTGCTGCATGGCTCCCTACACATCCCCCAGACCTCATTCAGATGCCACCTCCTCCGTGAAGCTCTCTCAGATTTCCTAGGAGGAAATAATCTCTCTCCCCAGTGCTTTCTTCACAGTCAGCTCTAGGCATCTCTCTCTTCCTCCCACTGGACTCCGAGCAGCTGGGAGTAGCAGCCCCTGTCCCCAGGGCCCAGAGCAATGCCAGACTGAGTAGTAGTGCTCAGCGAACGTGTGCTGGGTAAGTGATGGACAGTGCGTGCACGGTGCTGTGTAGGACACTGAGCAGTAAGAGACGTCACCTTACAGGCTGTTCATTGCTTTATATGGTGGCAGACAGACACCGCTCAGGGCTGTACTTAGAGACTGGTTAGGACCCCTAGACCTGGGGGACCTTGTCGATCATTCCAGACCACCCAATTCTGTCATCAGTAAGAAGGCTGAGCACAGAGAGCTGTGTTCGCGTGACTCGGCCAAATCTCCACCTCCGAGCCTGTTGTGAGGTGGGAGAGGGAAGATTCTAGTTTTAAGTACCAGCTCTGCTAAATACCATGTGACTCAGGAGGACTTAATCACCCTCGTGGAAACTCAGTGTCCTCAACTGTAAAATGGGATAATACCAACCTTGCAGAGAGAATTACAAGAGCAGTTATGTGTAGAAAAGTTTTACAGAAATACTCAGAGGAGACACACAATTCAGTGTAGGTTTTTGTTTTTCTAATTTCTTTTTTTTGGTTTCTTTCTGGGTTGTGTGTCAAAGCAGGCGTTCTCGTCTCTTACAAGAGTCAGATAAAATGGCTTATTTGGGGGTGCTCAGTGTTGAACTTGCTCTGGGAGCTCAGCTCGGTGTGCTGTTTCGGGGATCTGATTTTTTTCTGGGGCATTCTCCACTTGGAGCCCATCCAGTGATGCACGCTCAGTGCTGTGCACCCAGCCTGTGCCTTCCCACCACGCAAGGGCTACCAAGCAACGAATGAAGCCCACCACCCCCACCCCGGGAGCTATGCAGCCAAATCCCAGAGAAGCCCAGTGCTGACTGCAGCATCAATGCAGCATCAGCTGGAAGGATTAGAGAACAGGTGCTCCCCGCAAAATAAGCTTTCCTTGCAGAGCCACAGTGGAGACCAGCGTTTCTAGCAAAATGGGCTGTTCTGCATGAGAAAGCATGGGGAGGTGGGGCTTGGGACATGCCAGGTCCCTTTCTGGCTAGCCCAGACCCTCACCCCTTGGGGCTCCTGTTCTTTCTTGATGCATCCTAGAGACAGCACTGGATTCACAGTGCCCGGAGCAAAGGCCTGTGTTCCCTCCCCATCACAGGCCACTCTTCTGCCCTATGGGAATTACAGGCAGTCCCCGACTTCTGGCAGGGTCCCATTCCACAACTCTGTCGTAATTGGTTCTGACACAAATAGAATACCTCATTTTTTTGTTTTCATTATTATTGCCTTTTATTATCAATATCTTTACAAATCATAACATTGAACATCTGTGAGTGAACATCTGAGAATGATGTTTATCAGCAAATTATGTGCTGCAACATTGTATGTAGTCCATACTACTAACAGTATGATGTGCAAGGGAAAAAGAACAGATGGTCTTCAGTGCGGTTCCTCGTATCTCAAATATGTCATTAAGGCGGAGGCTACCTGTATTACGTTGTCTGTCTGGGGGATCCCGCTGCCTGCCTCACAGCATTGCTGAGAAGGTTAAAGGGTATAAGCGTGTAAAGGCTTTGGGCTCAGAGGCCGGCACACATGTGCCCAATGGCATCCTCTCTGCTGGTGTGATCTTTCTGTCACTTTACCCACATAATTAAATGGAAGGTGACTCCCGGAGGCCCATGTGGTCTTTTGGGGAGGAGACCGAGCATGGAGCCCTACGTGTGGTTCTGTCTTGGCTCAGCCCTGACTTGCCGTGTTACCTGCGCCAGCCAGCCACCTGCCCTCTGTGCTTGGGCTCGCCCATGTGTGCGAGCGTGGGAAGACATCACCTGTGGGCATCCTTTGACACTTTCTCTGTTGTTTCTCTGGGGCAGTCGGCACAGGCTTGATCCCTGCTCTCAATCCGACACTCTTGTTTGAAGATCAGGAATCCAGTTAAAAAATGTCCAATCAGGAGAATCGCATTCTCCGTCCAGGGGTCCTCCACACCTCATGCTTCCCTTCTTGTCCCTGATCCTCAGGCACGACCTATAAATGCTAGCAAAGCTGGAATAGGCAGGGTTGTTCAGCTGCCCTGGTGGGACGAGGCAGACTTAGGAGAACTTGCCTGTGTCCTAGGACAGGCACGTCCCTGCCTGTTTTACTTTGTTTACCTGTCCGCCATTTTTATAACCAGTTGCCGTGGAGTTGATTCTGACTCATGGTGACCCCATGTGCGTCAGAGTAGCGCTGCCTTCCATAGAGGTTTCAGCGGCTGATCCTTGGAAAGTAGTAACCATGTCAATAAGTGAGGAGAGGGCATATACTTAAACTCCAGTCGCCCTTAGGTTGATTTCTGACTCATGTTGACCCCATGTGTGTCAGAGTAGAACTTCTCCATAGGGTTTTCAAGGGTGTGGCCTTTTGGAAGCAGATCACCAGGCCTTTCTTCTGAGGCACCTCTGGGTGGATTCGAACCACCCACCTCTCGGTTAGTAGCCCAGTGCTTAACCGTTGGTGCCACCCAGGGACTCCTGATATATACATAGGATCTTTTATACCTATGGGGAGTGACCACGGCCAACTTAGCAGTCAACACAGTAGACTCTGTGCCTGTGGATTCAGTACTTTTGGGAGCCCACACAATGTTTTCATTTCTTTTAAAATCAGAAGAAAAAAAATGAATGTAATCCAACCTGGATAACCTCCATCTTTATGCCAATGCAGTCATAAAAATAGAATTTTTAATTTTTTTGTTGTTGTTTCATGGACAAAGGGGCCCATGAAGACAAAAGTGCCTGCAGCCAACTGAATTCATATTTCAGCCACGGGAGGAATTCTTATTACTCCTCATAATTGTCCCCTGACTGTAGATATGGGTGAGTTGCGCCCGCTGAGCCCAAGGAACTCTCCACGGTGGGCAGATGCAATCCTCGAATCAGCTGCCCACTTTGCCCCCTGCCTTGTTGTACCACACCACCCATGGCTTGAAGCTTGCACGTGGAGTGTGCCATGTGAACACTGGCCTGTGGATAAAGTAGCCTGAGCACAGAGGTACAACTATTTGAAGTGTGTGAATGATAAGTTTTCTGATAAAATACCTGGAGAAGGATCAGAAGTTACCGGGAAAACACCGATTCCTTAAAGAAACATACACGCGCGCACACACACACACACACAACATTTATAGTTTTTAAAAGTCTTTATGTTTAATCACCTCTACTATTTCAGGAATTAAGATGGCAAACACTGCTGTGTTCCC